CCTTCTTCTTCCGTACCATCAGCTCAGTGTCGTTTCGTGGCCGGCCATAGCTCTATGTGTATAAGAGACAGCACACACACACACACACACACACACACACACACACACACACACACACACACAACATCAACAAACAAACCACGAGTTGCGCACCCGTGCCCTCACGGTAAGTCAATTTGCTGGGGGTTCAATTTGTGGGAAATAGGCAGTTCAAGGAAGTGCAGGACCGGTAGCTGCCCGTGGCATTAGGGCCTTGAAATTTCGAATCTGAAACGGCGTGGACGCAAGCCCTGTGGTGAGTTAGGGCGGGTTTTTAGGGGGGTGCCAACTGGAAGGCGCAGGCGGGTCCAATCTTTCAGTTTTCGAGCGCCAACTTTGGCAATTTTTCGTACGCAGAATAATTGGAGAAAATATCTGAAAGTTTGATTTCGGGTAGGCCAGGTCATGATCTTTCCGGGAAAAATATCAATAAAATAAAATAAAATCGTTTAGACCATGAAATAAATGTCGCGCCAATTCGTCACTTTTTTCATTTTTGGCACACGACAACTTGTGGGCCAACGGGAAAAGTACCCCTATTTCAAAGTTTTCTCACGCTCAGAATAACTCGTAAACAAGTCTGAAAATTTGAGGGTCCGTAGATTTGGTCATGATCGTTTCAGGAAAAATGTTTAAAAAAATTAAAAAAATTGTCTCAACCGCGCAATAGCTTATAGCGCAAATTCATCCCATTTTCCATATTCACCACTCTGTCGGTTCTCCACTCTGTGCTACTGGTGGCCCTCATGGACCTGTGCTACCGGTCCCCCCAATTTCCAACGTCAGGTGGAGTAGTGGTTTGAATTCGAAGCCTGTTGTGGTCGAAATCGAAACAGGTCAAAAGCAGCGGCGACATCTCCCGTTCCCTTTGCATTCACAAAGTGATAGTCTCCATGTGTGCGCAAGGAGCGTGGTGCCTTATCGATCGAGGCGTTTTAACAAAGTCTCTCTCTCTCTCTCTCTCTCTCTCTCTCTCTCTCTCTCTCTCTCTCTCTCTCTCTCTCTC